TATTCTACACCACAGACAATACACAGCGAGATAGGGATTGGGTAGTCGAGGGTGTGATTGGAGACAAAATGACTTCAGTCTTAAAGGGACTCCTACCCGACTTTACCTATTACTTCAAAATACAGGCTCGTAATAACAAGGGTTACGGACCTATATCTGCGGAGGTATCCTTCAAAACACTTGCAGGTATGTGTCGGACAATGTTTTCTCTATTAAAGCACAATTATTCGCAATTTTTATTTTGACAATCAATTTTTCGCATGTCTTAATTTTGCGCACAATTTCTAATTTGTTTGTTTGCATGAAAATGACAGCTTTGCCCCCCAATTCTCAAGGATCCCTCTACGGTATGTTTTGCACATTATATTCATGCACACAATTAGCTATTGTTTAAAAATTTGCTAAAATATTCGCACCTTTTATATACAAACCCGACAGACACTCGCAATATATCAACGAACACACTATACATCATAATAGCGATCATATCAGGCATTTCAGTGCTGCTACTCATAGTTGTGGGCACTTTGCTCTGTCGCTCCAAGAATTCATCGGGAGTTATGAGTGCTATGAGGAAACATAAAGGATATATGGCTGCGGCTACGAGTCCTACAGCTAAGGGCGCTGCCGGCAAAGGCAAAGGCGGTCGAGAATTGAAACCACCGGACCTTTGGATTCATCACAACGAAGCCCTTGAACTCAAAGCTATGGATAAGAGCCTTACAAACGATGCCATGAGTTCGACACCCATTCAACGGAATCCACAGGAAATGGATTGCGATATCATTTCATCGAAAAAGACGTCCACTTATAGCGACTCACTCTATGATGATATCAACAAAGAGATTAAAAGGCCGTCGTCTCCATCTGAGTCCACTCTAATAGTGAGCGGAACGTCAACAATGGGCAGACGAGCGGGTCGTCCGAAGCCAATCACAATACCTGTCGAACAAACTCCAGTCTCCAACGGAGCCATAAGTCTGGAGCCATCGACTGGTTTGTCGCGACCGCTATACCCGCGCACGCAGTTTAACGCTATACCTCGCGCTCACGTGACACTGGACTCAGTCGATGGGCCCACAGGTATGAGCAGTTCGGTACACCATTTGTATGATCCGGTAGCGTCGCCCTCATTGCACATGGGGTTGAACTCGGGTTCGGTGGTCAACGGGCCACAGATGCTCTCATTGCCATTAAACAGTCCGTCACCTCAAGTCATTGCAAACACTAGTCCAGCCGTTAACTATGGTATTGGCAAACGACAGTCCGGCCACCCGTTAAAGAGCTTTAGCGTTCCGGCGCCCCCTCCGCCTACTATGAATACACCTCCAAACACTTTACCCCCTCATAACAGTACGAATTTGGCACTAACTTGTTATATGTTTTATTAATTGAATATTTGTCATAATCTAGTGGTCAGACCTCAGTTCATACCGAGTCCTCATAAGAAAATGGCAGCAAATGGTATGACAGCATCGCATAAGAGTTTAACTCCGACGCGAACGCCCGACACTTTACGCAGGGAAGAGCTAACTGTAAGCAATGGATTTAGTTGTGGCTAATGATTGAGATTTTAATGATTTCTGTCTTTGTAGTCGTCTTATAGTACGGAAGAGTTGAACCAAGAAATGGCAAATTTAGACCATTTGATGAAAGACTTGAGTGCTATCACAGCTAAAGAGTTTGAGTGCTGATTACCACAACCGACTGCTGCGTGTTGTCAACGCTTTGGTTTAAAATTTGAGCTCAATTTTGATATTTATTTTTACTGAATTAGAATTTTGTCACACATTTGATTTGTATGTAAACTTATCATTGATTTGTATTAACGAATGGTTGAAAGAAATTTTCAATTTATACAAGAATCTCACAATTTGTTCATAGACTCGAGTTTTTAGTTCATTTGTAATTTAAATAGATTTTATATATAAATTATCGTAAAATGTTTTAAAATTTGTTTGAAGTTTTAAATCTGGACAACATTTCTTTATAAAATGCTAATACGAAGTCAAAATGTTTTATAAGAATAATATTTTATTATATAATATATTTATCAAAGGAATTATTATATAATTTCAGTGCCAATGCATGCAATGAATGGTTTTTTATTTAACCGTAAGATCAGAATCTCTTGAATGCAAAACATATTAGTATTGATTGTATTATTATTTTTATAGCAATTACTGTACATTTGAATTAATGTCAATTTTAAATTACTCTAATTATGTGTAAATTAAGAATCAATTTTATAATCGATGTCATGATTAGTGCCATTCGTTTATTGTGAACATAAATCGTGTCAATACAACTTATTTATTACCCTACTTCATTTCTACTTAATTCTAATCATTTGATAAATATAATGCAATTTTCATTACTTTTATATAATCATATAATTTGTATTTCATTTTGTATAAAACATTCAGAATTATAGTCGAGTGAATAAACGAATTCATTAATAAAAATAATTATTTGAAAAATTAATTGTGTTTAATATGCTTATTGATTGCCTATACTATAACTGATTAATAACACTATTCTATAGTTTACATTTACAATGTAAACTTTACATACAATTCTCAATTATTTCACAATTTGTAACAATTCGTTAACCGATTCTGTAATTTCTAATCAGAATTTCCTACCTATTATAACAACCACTACTGTAATTCTCTCTCTCTCTCTCTCTCTCTCTCTCTCACTCACTCACTCATTCATTCATTCATTCATTCATTCATTCACTCATTCACTCACAACTCAATGTAATATTCACTCAAAATTAGAATAACGGACAAATGATACAGGTAAATTTAAGTATTTTTAATGAATGTAACAAATTGTTAATTAATCATTTATACAAAAAAATTTACATTAAATACAAAAGCAATAAATAATGAAAAATGTATTAATTGTCGACATTTGGAAAGATTGCCTGAAAATTAGCAAAATTATGGAAGAATTGGAAATAAATTTTGTTTTTATCGCTTATATTACATGTAATAGAGTTTGGTTTCAATGGTTTCAATGTATTGAAAATAGAATTAATTATTTTGACGGACACTCGAACTGAGACCCAATGTCTGTCATTGGAATCGTTGTCTTCATTGACATTGAGGTCTAAATCCGTGAATTTGGTCTTAAGAGCGATGGAGTCAGTGTCGGCGCCGATCGTCAGAACCGTTTTGTTTTGATCGATAGCTTTGGCTCTAATTGTCATATAAGGACACAAATCCTTGAGTCGTTCAATGGTTGTGATGACTGTCGGGGTTTCCGGCAAATAGAAGGACAGCTGAAGACATGAGACAAATGGTTAGAAAAGACAACAAACAGCGCATTGAGAGTGCATTACATCATAAGCGCCGGACTGGAGGCCACAGATTTGGTCCCAATATTGGGTTTTAATGATTTCCACTTTCAGGTCGTGCGACACATAGCGGTCCGAGTCCTGGGACGGGTAGTCCACCCCTACAGCCAACACATTACCACCGCTTTTGTTCTTCAGCTTCAGAGTCAACGCCTTTATGTTCGGCGACAACGAAGACATGACTTGAGACACGGGATCCGAACTCATCTCGAAGTATATGAGGTTCTTGTCGTTAGAGACACCGCTGAAGTCGTACTCTTGGAAATAGTCTTCGCAATTGAGATCACATTTGACCACAAATGGAGACAAACCGTTGGAGCGATCGCTGATGAGTTGCATTTCATTGGCCGATAACTTGACGTAAAATGTTTTCCAAAACTTGGCCACACTTTGAAACACTTTGATCATCGACTGGATCTGTTGGCCATCCGTTATAACGCCTTTGAATTTCATGGCAAACGGTTGTCTCGCGGATTGTCTCGCAACTGATTCCCGCGTTTGTGGCAAACGTTCAAAAAGTGTCGCAAACTATGGGTTCACCGCATGGGAGGGATTCACACATATATTCCCCGCGAATACAAGTCATGCGAATCGGGGCTAAAACACAGTGAGAGAGCGTGAACTGAGACTCCCCTTCAGTGCACGCAATAGTGTTCGGAGAGAGTATTGACAGGCGTTTGGGAAAACCTGTGCCAAAGCAATGGTAAACAACACAGTGTTCAGTGAATACGTCGTCATAAACACGACAACTATTGAGCCCTCGATTCACTTCATTTCCATTCAATGCTTTCGATTGTGTTTTCAATTGATATTTGTTTCGAGTTTTAGTTTTTATTAAAACAATACAATTAATGACTAATTAATTGCTATATAATTAGCGACCAATTGTGGGCGCAATGTATGACTGACTGCAGACTCCCTGTGCTCGCATTGGTTGACGTACTGCTCGTCCGAAAGCATTGAACGTCTCGACAGTGTTTTGGTTGAGAAATACGACTCAAAAGCGATTGAATTGTGTTTTGTTTGCGAATAGCATTTCAATCGTTATATTAGCGTTCATTCAGTCGTCCATTCAGTCATCCATTGAGTCAGTTGTGGACAATCGTTGGACACAACCCTCGCTGTCATGTTTGGCTCCAACAATAAGTCTTTGTTCGGCACTTCCAACACTTCCAGTGCTTTCGGACAACCGAATACATGTGAGTATTGATCCACTCCTGGGTTTGCCTTTCATTGCATTCATTGACTGATTGTGTGATTGTTTTGATGACTTTTAGCCACATTTGGAGTGCAGTCGACGCCAACCAATGGACCCTTTGGTGCGATGAGTGGATCCCAACCGCAACAGCAGTCGCTGTTTGGGTCGACGGCCGGACAGCCATTGTTTGGGTCGTCGCAGCCCTCGATCTTCGGGTCGACGCCCAACACGGGGACCACCAATACGTTCGGCGCGCAGTCGACGACCGGTGCGTTCGGCGCCACCACTTCATCCATCTTCGGGGGTAACCAACAGAATAACTCACTGTTTGGTGGCAACCGTTTCGGTGGCACCACATCCACGCCATCGCCCTTTGGAAGCACTTCTTTGGCGCCGACGATGAGCGCACCCAATGGTACGACCGTTAAGTTCAACCCAACCGCTGGAACCGATACTATGATGAAGAACGGAGTGTCGCAGAACA